CTCAATAGCTCAAGTATGAATCTTACAAAATTGGAATAATTTTATGTGTTTTTTTTTTTTATCTTTTAACTCTTTTATAAATTCGTAAGTTTCATCGAAGATTTACAAATATTTACTAGTAATGGCCCCTCTCCCTAAAAATATTTCTAAACAAGCCCTCCAGCAAGGTTTTTAAAAAGAGCTTTGATAACAAAACTTCTTGATCGGAAGCTAATATACTTTACTAATTATTTCTTATTGAGTCTATTTAACCTGAATTCAAATTAGTAATAATAATCGGATTAGTATATTTCAAGTATTAGATGATTAAACAAAAATTAAAAGAAATTATATTCACACTTTACAACATAGTGAAAGAGAAATCAAGATATTTCTAAAATTGCATTCATAATTAATCATAGTACAATAACAATAATGTCATATCTTGGGCTTATATAAGGGAAAATAAAAAACAAAGCAAGCATACAATATTCAATCTTTTCTCGATATACTGAAATCTGCAGGCTCGATTAATTCAAATTCATGTTGAGCAATCCAACAAAAGAGTAAAACGCGCTCTTTGAAAAGATTAATCTCTCATTGTAACTAAAACATTATTTTCAGAGCCACTTTCATCACCAAAAGATGGAGTAATCAACACAAGATCTTCATTTCCTGGATTAATTATCCAACATGAAAAATGGGCAGCCTTATTTTCTTCATTAAACCTTATATTATCAGCTAATCCCAAATCATCCCAATAATTAGCTGAAATTAATTCATTCTTAATTGAACCAAATGGATTAATCCCTTCTCTAGAAAATGTTTCAACATTAACATCCTCTGAGGTTTCTCTAACAAACAAACACAATTTTGTAGACAAATTCTTACCAAATTTGTTCTCGACCTCTTCAACACATTTTTTTACAAGATTATTCTTGTGGATATCATCACTTAAATTCAAGAATTTCAAAGGTAATTTAAAAATTAACGTATCATTAACGTGGTAATTATTTGTGTTTGAGCTCAAATATAAAGTTGGTGAACACCCTTTTTTCCTAAGATTTGGTGGAAAAAATGTCGGAATTTTAGGTGCATCTGCCTCTGATACCATATTGACGTGAATTTTGGACCATCTATTCAAGAAACTAGTCATGGAAAAAGGATCTTCTAGAAAAAGGCTACAACTTATACCAATGGAGTATCTTCCACACTTGAAATTTGTCACCTGAAAAAAAAAGAGTATGATCTTCTATATATAGCCCTTGAATTTATAACAAAATCTCAAAAAACCATTAAAAGTTAAGACCATACAAATATTTCAAATAATATGGTAGATGTTTTTGCTAATAACTCACAAAAATTTTCACCTTCTACACTCAAAACTTCTATAACATGCTTGGTTTCGAAATTTTTCGACTGCTATAGTGATTGACTGTTATAGTATACCTATTATAACATTTGATATTTGAATATATTTGGTTGTTGTAGGTTCCAATATCAGGTAAACCATAAAATGAGATGAGTCTGTTTTTGATAGCATGATTTTTTTTAAAAATAAATAAATTTTAAGCTTGACTCAATCCAAAGTTAGCTCATGACGTGAAAATTGAGACCAAATAAAAAAGTGGTGTGGCTAACCTGGACATAAAAAAGTGGTGAATATTGAGTGTTTGGCTCATGAATATCATCCCAAAAGACAAGCTGACCTTCTACATTTTTCTTTTCCTTAAGATGAATAAAGTCATCAAAATTCATTGGCATTTCAGCTTCAATCAATCTAACACCAGAATCATTTGACACAATTTCAAACTCCCCATAATTAGTAGTATTTTCTCCTATACTTCTAAGTCTACCAGCAAGTAATGGTTTCAACAAGTGCCTTTCCTAGTGACTCCTTAATCCATCCAGTGACCATCCACCCTGAATCCGTCTCTGACGCCTTATTATAGCAAAAGACCATATGAAAACGCCTTTGAAAATTGTCAGAGCCAGGATTTTCACCAATGAGAACTCGCCGCGATATCCTTGGATCAGTTTGCTTCACTGGAATCACTGTTTGGATTGCTTCAATTTGCAAGTTGGAGACAAAATCATGTGCCACTCCAATATTTTCATTGCAATATGCCATGTTGAAAATTATAAGAATTAAATGTATGTTATAAGTTGTGTGACATTACTAGGCATTATATAGATAAAGAAAGAATGCATTATAGAATTGATGAAATCAGTGTAATCAGAGATTGGTTGATGCAACTAACTTTGATTAAAGATTAGACCAAAAAAAAACTTTCATTACAGGATTGTACTGGAAACTTAATAAAGGACATATTTGATTATCAGAACACAAACTACTTTACCTTCCATCTAATTGTATGCTCCCTTCGATACAATCACTTTTACTTGTCCACTATAAAAAAAATAAAAAATTTACAGCATATTAAGAGAAAAACATATTATTATATATTTTTAAGCATTAATTACTCATTCCACAAATTGTTTCCCAAGACCTAAGATTAAACACCAATTAATATAAATATTGTGATAAAACACTCATATTAATCATTATTTTTTAAGGAGTGTAAAGTCTAAACAGAACAAGTAAAATAAAACATCTAACGCAATGAACCTAGCTATCAGTCTCAACCTCTCACACCTTCGATTACTAGAGCATCTCATGTGCTCCTCCTTTTTACATATTCGAACTATCTCAATCTTACTTTCCACATCTTATTCATCACTGAAATTACTCTTATATATCTTCATTCGTAATCTTATCTCTTATAGTATATACGTCCATAGATTCATCGAGACTTGGAATTAAAGATATTTCTTTATATATGGACTAGAATTATTGGTGGTCTTTGTTGGTATGAATATAATGTCCTTCCAAATCCTTTCTGCCGGTAGGTAAGTATTTATTCCTGGTTCTATGTTATACGAGGACAGAAAATTGTTTGTGTCTTCTTGTCTATTTTTTATTTTATTTTTATTTTTAAGGCAAAATCAAAACTTTTAAAACACAAAAATATTTAAACTTTCCTTGGTATCGTTCGAAATTCATAAATGAAAATTTAGAGACTATGAATTTGAGGAACAAAAATTAAAGATCACCCCAAAATAGGACAATCCGTGCAAAAACTTGTCTTTTAATAAGTTCATGAGCTATTGGATTCACATGACAGAGTTTCAAATGGGCCACATAGAAAGACAAACGTTTTGGTGGAGTGAAAAAATGGCCCAACTAACTAGACCTATTTTATTTTGTCTTGATAGTAGTAGATATAGTTTAAGGTTGAGAAAATTTGAGAAACAACAAACATAACAGACATAATAACGTTTTATCTATAGTTTTGATATTGCGCTCCATAGCTGTAGTTCTGTTTGCTATAGAGGTTACAGTTTGTATATTTCGCTTGCGAAGTTACAAATAGGGTAAGTATATACAAATACCATTATTTGAGGAAATGAGATAATACTAATCAATTAGTGAGTGTACCTTCTCCATAGTTGTTTATTAAATCTTTCACATTGAAATGAAAAAAGAATAAAACTATGGGTGTGTTTGGTAGGTAGGAAAATATTTTCATGGAAAACAAGTAGATTTTTTACTTATTTTCTCATGTTTGGTTGGTGAAATTTTTTAGAACTTCATTTGTATATTTCGCTTGCTAATATACAAACATGGTAATTTATTGTATTTTTTTGTTAAATATGATACAAATAGCTATGGTAAACATATAAAAATTCTGCATTTATACCATCAAGAACCGAATTATACAAAATTCTAATTTATACAATCAGGCGAATTATACAAATTAGACGAATTATACGTACTTTTAATTTGAATTCTCTAGTAGATAAATTTTAGTGTGGATAATCTTAATAAATATTTTTTTAAAAAGGAGTGGATAAAGCTTGTAACTACTTACTGAAATATATTAAATAGAATTTTAAGTATGATGAATGTTTTATTTACACTAATAACAAATATAATGTAATTTTATAAATAGGTCTTACCTTACTTATTGGGTGAAAAGTTATTTTTCATTGATCTAGTGCTAACCACCTCCTTTATTTGCAGTCGAAATTGGCGATGTGAACGAGTAGAGTTAAACTTTTTACTCAAATTTATATTAAAAAAATACCACCTATCTTTTTCTAATGAATAAAATATATTAAAAATGTCATATCATTTTACTTTTCTGAGAGAGGAATTTTTGACAATTCTAAGTACATTTGACGACCAAATATAAAATTTGAAAACAATTAACAATCATTGAATCCAGACAAAAGAGAAATCAATAATCAGTGAATATAATATTTTTATGACACATGACATAATTCCTAATCATCTTACTTTTTGACCTTTAATACAAGTTGAATTTCCAACATCAGGTCATATTCATAGCAAAAATAAAAGCTTTGCTTACCTGTCCATTTTTCATCAGTTGAAATTCACAATGCACCTATTTCATAAATAAAAGAGAAGTATGAACTCGGTGAAAATTATTATACAGTCATAAAAATATTTTTTTATTTAATTAAATAAACGTAGATATATTTACGATCTGCAACGTGACATAACAGATGGTCTCTAACTCTTAGATGAACATGAAACTCTTATTAAAAAGATGAGAGAAGTATTAAATCCACTAAATTTGACGAGAAACTAGGAATCTATTTTACTCTTAATGCAAAATCAGAGATGCAACTTATAATTTATATCGAATTGAGGGATATTTTTAATGCTTCTTCCTAAATAAAATTAAAATTAATTACAAACTTTATCACCAAATTAAGATGGCATTTACAGGCGAAGTTTCGATAGACAAGTCGTTGGAGTTATTAATGTCGTGTCCAACTTGATCAAAATGGTAAGACAATTCTTGGTGAATGAAAAGTCAAACTAAATTGTTTTCAAATTTTAAAATATATTTTTTTTATAAGGATTTATATAAAAGAATTATTTTTTTCATTCACTCTTTATATGTCCACAACATACATACCCTCTTGAATTATTTTTCTATCTCTAGTCTTTTTTGTCTCCAAATAATTGAGTGGCCATGGCTTTAATCTCTTCAATTCTACAACATGCCAAGTCTCATTCTTCATCTAAAATATCTACTTATATTCAAAGAAGATTATTTTCTAATGATGTTAGAAAAGAAAATATTGTAATTGTTGGGGCAGGAATTGCTGGCCTTGCTTCTGCTCTTTCACTTCAAAGGTTCAAATTTTACACTTAACTTATAAATTTGCATTTTCCCAATTATATTTTTTTATGACCATGATGTCTGGGCCACCTTCGCTAGATACCTCTCACCTTACATCCGCAATAGTGTGGTGGAATTTGAACTCTTAACCATGAATTTCAACAACCACTATGCCACACCTGGGGTGTTTTGCATTTTCCAAAAATACTTCTTTTTTTGTGAATTTTAATGATTTTGAGTTGCTGTTATTTTAGGTTTGGTATTAGAAGTTTGGTGCTTGAACAAGCTGAATCATTGAGAACTGAAGGAAGTTCAATAACACTTTCTAAAAATGGATGGAAGGCACTTGATGCTATTGGAGTTGGTGATGAACTTAGGAGTCAATTTCTTGATCTTCAAGGGTATTTTTGTACAATTTTTATGTTTTAGTCAAATCCATTGCTTATTGATTTATTTGGTCATAATATAATATGTTGTTGTTGTATATCGAGCATTGGTTAATTGCACGATGCACAAACATGTTAGTTACTTTCAACTCAAACTCTATAATATAAGCCAAATTTTTGACTCCACCACTGACTGTACGCTTTGAAGTTCCTCGATGTTGACTTTAACTTGTGTTTAAACTTGACATGTTTTATTCAGTACACATCTAACATTTGTTGATGTCATCAATTTTTTCAGGGTAGTAATAAAATCAGATGATGGTAAGGAGTTAAACTCATTTGGGTTCAAAGATGAGGACAAAAGGTAAAATGGGGATTTGATGTACTTTCTAATTGATCTTTTTTATTTTACCTTTCTTCTATTGATACTATGAAATTAATGGAGCAGCCAAGAAGTAAGGGTGGTTGAGAGAAGAGTCTTACTTGAAACACTAGCAAGTAAACTACCACCAAATGCTATATCTTTTTCCTCAAAGTTGTCAAACATTGAGACAAGTGAAAATGGTACTAATACCTTATTGCAACTTCAAGATGGTACTCGTTTATCCGCTGAGGTAAATATAATACTTCAATCCCTCACGTTATGATAAGTAACACTGAGATTTGAACGCAGGACCTTTGTCTGCTCTAATACTGTGTTGGATAGTGTGGGTCATTTCGTCTAGAAGCTTAAGTTTGTTAGGGAAAGTATAATGTTGTTTACTTAAATTATATCTTCAACGCTCTCCTCAGGTGGTGATTGCTTGTGATGGTGTATGGTCACCAACGGCTAAATGGATGGGATTTCGACAGCCTAAGTATGCAGGGCATATCGCCTTTCGAGGCCTAGGATACTTCCCTGAAGGACAGCCATATGAACCAAAAGTTAACTACACATATGGAAGAGGATTACGCACTGCATTTGTTCCTGCTTCTAAAACCAAGGTCTACTGGTTTGTCTTGTGCAACAGCTCATCTCCAGGTATATGTTTCATCAAAAGTATCTGGTGATTCAAGTCTAGTTCATCATCTCTGCATTAGTCTTGAGGTACTTGAATATTCCCTTGACAATATTAGTGACGGATTACATAGAGAAACCTTAGATAGGAGGGATTGGAGGTCGTGGATTAGGATAGAAGGTTAGTTGGTAGTTGAGTGTCCTCTCTTTTCCTACAAGATACGTTTGGTGGTTGTACTTGGACCTTCTTTCTTACCAATTAGCACTAACCTCGTAGTTTCTTGTTATTCGATTTACTATTCCTTCTTCTGTATGTGCAAAATGTTTAAAATTCAAAATCAAAACTCATTATTCCACCAATGTGCCAAAAGAATCAGAGGTGAATATGCCTCATGTGCATAAGATAGGCTTCCAGCTTTTGTTCTATTTTGTGTGGGGCTGTTCTTCCATGTTATTGACAGCAAACTTTTCCCATGTGGCACCAGTTGTAACAATAGAGACTCACTTCTTGGCTGGAACTTTTCTGTAAACACCTTTCTAACTTTTGCATCTCTTGGCAGGTCCAAGGATCACAGATCCTTCAATATTGAGACAACAAGCTAAAGAGCTCGTTAGAGATTGGCCAGTCGCGGACATGTTAAACCTGATTAATCTTACACCAGACGATACATTAACAAGAAATCCCCTTTATGACCGATGGCTTTGGCCAGTAATAAGTCCTCCGCCTTTTAGTGGAAGGACAGTGCTTGCTGGAGATGCATGGCATCCAATGACACCCAACATGGGTCAGGGTGCTTGCTGCGCGTTGGAGGATTCAATAGTTTTGACAGAAAAGCTAGCAGAAGCAATGAAGTCCAAGCATATTTCTGTGGAGGATGCATTCAAAGCATATGGAAGTGAAAGATGGAAACGTGTGTTTCCATTAACAGTAATGGCAAATCGCATTGGAGCACTGCTGCAGTCTGAGAATACACTGATATGTTCTGTTAGAAATAATCTCCTTGTGCCTAAGCTGAAGCCCAGAGCATTGACGAAACATACCAATTATGAATTTGAGCAAGCTAAAAGAGACGGACATTAGTTTTTGAGGGACGAAAACTTAGCAATGGCAATAAACAGAATGTATGTTTTCTTTTCAGGAAACGAAAACAACTATAGACAGAATGTATTTCAAAGTAGAGATGTACTGTTTTGTGATTCAACGAATTTACTAATAGAAGTGTTTATGCTTCTGTATCCGAATTCAATACATGCTTCTGCATACAAACAATATAACAGTAGAGTACCAAAGGGAAAATCATTCACTATAACACTTGGTACTTTGGGACAATTTTAAACTTTACTCAAAAGCCAGCTAACGTGATATCGCCTATGTATGTTGTATACAGTTCACTAATTTAACATATGTATGAGCCATGATTGATGATGTCTATTCTAGATGACCAAGGGAACTTCACTCTGTTATCCGTCGGCTTCATTATTTTCTTGACCGATGGACTTATCAGTTGCATCGATGTCCTCTGACTCTATCTTTGATGTAAAACTTCTCTTTGAACTGTCTCCATTGATTCCAGGTTGATTCACAGCAATGTTGAGTCTGGCAACAATTGAATCAGCTTTATTCACCATAGGAACTGCTGTGCGGGATAGAAATATGTCTTAACAGCAAAATGATAGTGATAAGCTGTTTTTTTCTCATTCAGTATATTGGTGGCATAGATAACATTAACTTAGGACACCATACAACAAATGCTATAAAAGGATAGACTCCCTTGATGAAGATCAAAGAAAGAAACTTAACGCGCCCCAACATAAGAAGAAAAGGTAGTAAAATCAGCTCGAGTAAAGCAGTATGGAGATACAAGAGTGAACTCCTTTCCTCCAACCACAATTCAGAGAACAACAATCATCTAATCAAACAGAAGATCACTAGAGGAAACAATCAACTGTTGCCTAACTACCAATACTCGAAAAACCAAACACCAACAAATAATAGGTATGTCAAGTGTCCATAGAAGTTATGCTGGCTAGTTTTCAAACAGATTCAATCATAATAGTTCAATGTCAAAAAAATTTAAGTAAACAACGTATGTAAATGGCGATTATTACTCAGCTAGTTCTTGATTTCAATATGTATAACCATTTCAAGTGAATTTCATGATCATTTACTATCTATTGATGAAATTCTCCTGTTAACATGAAAGCTGAGAATCTAGTCAAAGGTTCAATATGGGGGTAAACAACATACACTAAGCTCCAATTTCATCTTAAATACAGACAACATAGAAAACTCCATAAATGAAAGTCCATTTATACTAGCCAAAAAAGTACCTACAAGCAAAAGATCTGATTCTTTCTTAGCTCTTTTGCGAAAAGAATCAGAAACAAGAAAAGCAAAGCATCGACAAAACAGCTTTATCTTTTTTCCAAATCAATTGATGAATCCAACTTTAAACAAAGTCAACTCAAGAAATACCACAAAATTTCATTCACAAATTCAACATCCAATTTCCCATCTCGTTTCCACATCATCCACTACTCCAAAAAAAATTGTTTTTGTTTCCCATCCGGTGTCCGGTACCCATACTGGAGCCCAACTAATCCAGATTCACATCGGGTAGGGCTCCATTCAAGGAGAAATGTTCCCTACCAAGTATTTTTCCATACCCAAAGCTCAAATCCGAAACCTCAATACTCCAAATTCCGAACATTACAAAATCAAAAAAACGAAGTAATAACCAAATGGGTCAGCAATAATTCAACTATAAATGAATAAACCCAACTCTACACAACATAAAAAAAGAATCTTGAAACACATTCAGCTGAATCAAAAAACACAAAGATAGTGAGATTTTCAGTAAAAATTACCGGGGCTAGAGAAAACCCACAAAACAATAGCAGAAAGCAGCAGTATTAAAGGGATAAGATGGATTGCATTTTCAGCAGATCTGAGACGATTTCTTTCCTTTTTAGCAACTTGAGATTGGGGATTAAACGTCGGTAGTTCTTCAGTTTCAGTAGAAATTGTTGATTTCAGATTCGGAGAAGAATTAAAAAAGAACTCTTCAGATACTCGTGAAGAACTCGATGAACGGTACATGGCTGATTACAGAAATGGAGGAAAAAATGGAGAATTTGGAAGAAAAATGGAGTATTTTGACTGTTATTTAGGCGGGTTCTGGGAAGTTGGCAGGTAGCAGACAGCGTGGGAAATGCGAAGTCTTAATACAAAAATGGAATTATAAAAAAATGAATCAAGTGGACCTATGACTAATTTATCACCGACGATAGTACTTATCGTACTGCTGAAGAGAAATTTATTTCTCGCATTTGACATCTCTGATTAATGATAAAACAATCCCAGCACCGCAACACACCTCATGTTGTTAGTGAAATTGATTCTCTCATATAGAGAGTGGATAATTAATCTAAATATAATTCCTCCAAATGATTTAATGAGATAAATGAACAAAAAAATTGAAAAAAAACTGTGAAAAATCAAGATAAGTTTGAGTGGATCACAAACACGTGAAATCATATCAACCCTAAACATAATGAACTTCCAAATATGTTTGAGAAGTATTATACAATGGTTAAGTTATAATAATTTAATGAGTTAAAAGGGTAAAAATTGTATTAAAATATTGTGATTTTTTTAGTTTCATAATTACATTATATGGATATGTGAATTTCTTATTGGAACTATCAGTAATATATATATATATATATA